ACCATGCCTTTAATGTGGACCTGTACTGTGGAACCTGTGCCCTAAGATTCAAGTGGAGGGTGGCAAAGGACTAGTCAACCGCACTGTCTGTAGTCTACCTGCAGCTGACATTTTCCCCATTGCTGGCTTACAATGTCTTGTCCTGCACTGCGTCTCTGTGTGGGTACTGCCAACTTGGTAGAGGAGCGGAGCTGTGGTTCCTCATGTCAGTGTGCTGCCCCTAATGACTGGTGATCTTATGACTGGTGTGGGAATAATTCAGAAGCAGTAGAAAAAGTGCAGAAAGCCCATATTCACAGAATGAATAAATGAAGTAGAAGCAGGATGATGCTTGCAGTGCAGGTCCTCAGGTTCAGCTTCCCCTCCAGCAAGAACAGTGAGCAGTACAGTAGTGAGATTACACAATTTTTCACATCTCGTGAAACTAGTAGTTCAGAGGCACAATGCCTCAAATGATCTCACACTACAGATATACAGCTCATGAGGAACAGAACAGGAGTGTTTAGGTCCAGTCAAATATCAGGAAGCGCACTGCTATTTTTAAAGAGGAAGTCAAGGTAAAAGGTAGATTTTTCAGGGTATTGCTTAGACAAGATTAGCCTTACTGTATATTCCCTATAAGATAGCACTAATTTCTTGCAGCAAACTTGGGGTCCAGGTTCTGGGAATTTCCGATTCATGCTCTGTGTTTGCAGTATGATGGTTTTTTCCTCTCTAGATTCTAAGCAACATGAAATAAAATGAAAGCTGGTCTTCACCAGGCAAATAAACTATTGTGTGTTCAAGCTCCTCCTACTGCATTTTCTTACATAAAATAGATACAAATCCAACAGAGAAAGTAAGAACGTCTCATAATGCCCACAAATGTCACATATGCTGCGCTCTGTGAAATTATATGCAATATAGAACAGAAAGCGGTAATTATAGAAGGTTTTAGTGAACCTCCGGGCCTCCAGCTGTGGTGAAACTACAAATCCCATGAGGCATTGTAAGAGTCTCACAGTCACAGGCATGACTCCTAGAGGCAGATGCATTATGGGATTTGTAGTTTCACCACAGCTGGAGGGCCGAGGTTCCCCACCCCTGATCTAGAAAGTAAAACATACAGCTGCATAGAGAACTGTATAGAAACTGACAGGGTTGTTCACAAAAGGGTGAAGGGTTTGGAGAAGGCAGGAAAAATGAACAATCTAGGACAACATAGCTGAACTGGAAAGTGAGCTGAATTGGAGAATTTTTTCAAATCAGCTATATTGTCCTAGATTGTTCACTTCTCCTGCCTTCTCCAAACTCTTTACCCTTTTGTGAATAACCCTGTGAATCTCTAGAGTAATGGTGAGCAGTTAATGCAGAATGTGGACTATGGTTGTAAATAGTGTAGCCTACAATTCAAAGAGTTTACTGGTGTTTAATATGTTTACAATAAAACACACATGATGGCATTGTAGATACCTTTTGAGGATATTAAGGTTTCCAAAAAGGTAAAGTTGGGAGATAAGCATCACTCTTGCACATGGTTTCTATGCATAAAACAAATGTTGTTTTAAAAGGGGGTGCATGGTGAAGAAGTCACCTGTCACTATGTAAACATTTGTAATCTAGCCTATTCGTTGGTAAGCAGGCACATGGGTGGGTTCTTTAGTTGTTGTGGTCGTACCTGGGAAGCCCCCAAGCCTGGGACACCTACAGTATACAGATTTTCAAGTTAGGGAGTTAGCTTGATCTGAACCTGTGCCAATATCTTGCATACTAAAATATTATATATACTGAGCAAGCAATAAAAGCACTTCAAAACAAGTTCTTATTCATCTCTGTATGTTTAGCATTGTAGAGCAATTTCATTTATTACGTTCCTAACGCAGTTATTGGAATCTTAGCTTTTTTTTATGGAGAGCAGATCTTGGTAGGATGTCAGCCCTCTATTGTATACACACAGTGGGTGTTTCTAAAGCCTCATTCACACTGGGAGTGTCGAAAATGTGCTTATATGTGTTTTAAGCACATTTCTAAACACATATAAATACATGTAATTGATTTTCAATGGTATCATTTAGACCAGAGGTTCTCAACCTGTGTAACCTGAGGACCCACATTTGTCCTTGGTCAATACGTTGCGACCCAAGTCACACTGAAATGGAATGCACGGCATTGCAGTACTGCACGTTCTGGTGCGGGCGATTGAACTTGGTGGAAGGTGTGTTTGTGGTGACATTTAAATGAATGGCAACTCAACGCACCTCCCACACCAGAACGCATAGTAGGTGCGATTGCACGGTACAGTGAGTTAATCGCACAGGACTGTTTAACACACTGTACTAGTGTGAATGGGCCCTTAACAACACTGACAGACACAATCTCACACACACATATACACTCCAAAAAAAAAGTGTTTTTTTTTCTTTTTAAGAGCGACCCAGTCTCCCTACCTGACAAAAAATGCAGTGGACCCTCAGTCTTGAGTCTAGTGTGGGCTTCTGTGCTGTGGCAAAGCTCCATCCATATGTACATTGCTTGCACATATCCATTGCACACCCTGTAGAGATGATGGGTGCCCGGACGTGATGTTGCTCTCATCCAGGAACCTCTACAGGACATGCAAGGAAGCTGTGAGCAATACATGTATGGATAGATCTCCCTCGCGGCCATAGCTCCAGCCCACCCCACCACACCTCAAGCTGAGACTCGGAGCCGAGCAGCATATGAATGGCTGCTTGGCATGAGAACTGACACTGCTGCGCTAGGGGAAGGCTGAGAAGTCTTATACCTAGAAAATTGGAAGGCATGTGGTGACCCACTGAACACAGGGTCCCGACCCACTTTTGGGTCACGACCCACCAGTTGAGAACCAAGGATTTAGACTTTGCATTTACCTGCATTCAGTTTAGCTATTTTCAGAGAAAATTACATTCTTTGCATTCAAGATCTGATTAGATCACGAGCATGCACTTTAAGCAGGAACATATGAACACAGGAAGCAGTGATCTGGGAAGCATAAAAGTTGTTTTATATAGAAAAGCTAAATGCAGGAGTGCCAGTGTGATCGGGGCCTAAGCTGTTAAAAAAAACCACTGAAATCCGAGTCTTTTTTATAATCTTTCAGGATCTTTGATTAATGAATTACTTCACATTTAAAGTACCTAGAGAGGTTTTAGTGCTGCGCACCATAATGCTTGGCCTGTGCATCGTCTTGCACTGCCCCTCAAGTACACTGCAGCTACTGTAGACGTGCATTAGGGCCACTGTAAAAAAAAAAAAAAAAGGCACCACAACCATACAACTGATCATGTTTTAGCATGCCTTGTGCAATGCACAGGTCTGAATGTGTCTTTTTTTTTTCTAGTCTTCTTCTAGAGAAGAAAATGTCAAAGATGTTATATACAGTTTGTTTACGTAGTTGTGGTGTAATTGTGCAATAAAAGGACATTTTTATTTGCCACTTTAAAAAAAAAAAAAAAAAGGCACCACAACCATACAACTGATCATGTTTTAGCATGCCTTGTGCAATGCACAGGTCTGAATGTGTCTTTTTTTTTTCTAGTCTTCTTCTAGAGAAGAAAATGTCAAAGATGTTATATACAGTTTGTTTACGTAGTTGTGGTGTAATTGTGCAATAAAAGGACATTTTTATTTCAATCATAGATACCTGTTCACTTAAAGGGAAAGCTCTATCTATCTATAGAAAACCACTCACCTGTCGGAATAATATTCACTTATAACCTGAAGGACACATTAAAGCCAATTATATGAGCTTCTACAATGCCCTATGCTGGAGTCAAAGAATATGTTGGCTAAAAAAAATATTTTTTAATTAAATATAATTGTTCAGGAAATATCCAAGTCATTTGATATGAAAATGCTAGTGGCGTGACTTAAAGCCAGACTCCAGTGACAAAAGCAAATAATAATAGCTAAGCCCAAGTAAACTGCTGGCAGGCTTTAAGATTGAATGTAACCCAACCACCTTTCAGGCTGTGATGAACCCATACCCTGTAGGTGCACATTTACATAACCTGAGCTCACAGTACTCCTGGATTGAGCAATGCTCATACATTAGTATGTCAGTTCCGCTCTGTCCAGGAGGAGGAAGTGCTTGCTGACAGTGGTGACACTGGGCGGGCCTGAAGAATGCTGGAAAAAGGCATGTACAGTATTTTTTTTATTTTAATGATCTGAGGCTTCAGGGTGAGGAGTGCTTAAGAGATGAAGATAGCTTCATGCCATTCTGTTGACTTGCACTAACAGGGTTATTCACAAAAGGTTGAAGAGTTTGTAGAAGGCAGGAGAAGTGAACATTCTAGGCCAAAATGGCTGATTTGGAAAACTTCTCCAATTCAGCTCACTTTCCATTTCAGCTATGTTGTCCTAGATTGTTCACTTCTCCAAACTCTTCACTCTTTTGTAAATAACCCTGAATAGCTCATAAATCACATACATTCTCAGGTGCTTTTCTTTTCAGATGCAGAATGATGGGACCTTTTTCTTCAGACACCTAATTTAAAAGGCAGTTGGCAGTTACTTATTGAAAAACAGTGGATCATTTTTAATTAAATGTAGTACAAAAGTGTACACAATTAGCAGAAAAACAAGGATGTAATTTTATTTTCTTATTTAGTTTATCATTTTGTATCTCAGGAAATCATTAACAAGAGTAATTTAATGTTGAGTTTAATGCAGAATTGTCTGTTGGTAGTCTTTGTAAAAATGTAAATTCCTCAAGTGTTTACAGCTGGGAAGATAATATCCTTGCATTAGGTTTACAGAATGCAAGTGCTGTGTGGGAGGAAAATTACAAACTGATTTGGAAGTAAAATGAATAACGCATTTTTTGTTTTTTCCTCATTTGAATGGCTTTTCTTCACATACTTTACGCAAATGTGTTTCATTTCCAGTAATGCATTATTCGCGAATGAAATTATAATTGAAGTAAACAAGTGACAGGGTTAATTGTTAGTTTTCTGTAATATCCAAAATAATATTGTTATATCAATATTTTCCATAGGCCAAAGAACTCTACAACATCGAAGTGATGTCCTAGAGACAGTGATCTTGGTGAATCCAAATGCCGAAAGCATTGTTCATGAGGTACTATTTCTAATATAGCTATACTACTGAAATTACATGTATGCATTTGACAGATGCTTTCCAAGAAGGCATGATTCATATTTGACTTTTGGATAAAACATTGGTTTTTATTGCCCATCCAATAACTAGCAGTGCTGCTGTAGTTGAAAAGTCTAAAGATTACCTTAAAACAATGCATGCTGTGTCATAGCAGTGCTGCTAGCACCACTGTTGCAACAGACATAGAAGACCAGCTTTAGAGTTCATTGTTTGAGCCTGTGGGAGTTATAATAACTATGTACGTGTATAGAATAATAACTATGTACAGGGATAAAATATGTTTAGTTGAAATTTGTCTCCAATGATATCCATTAAGATTATTAATTGTATATCATATATAGGGACTTGTATATCCTGCAGAGGGGCTCCAAACTTTTTTTTTTTTAGTTTTGGAAAAATGTGGAAAGGTTAGAGACACTATCAGATTTTTGTGACGATTTGTATCCTTGCTGGATAAATGTTCCCATACTTTTAGTTAGTATCTATCCTCACTTTGTCTTGAGGACAAGAATAGAGGAAATATCTACAATGGGGGTACAAAAGCAATGAAAACTTGACAGAAGTTTTAGATTATTTTGCTTTTGGATATTGCTAAATGTACTTTGAATTCTATCTTTAGGTACGCTCCTTGATCACAGATCCTTCAGCCTACAAACTACTCATCTTAAGTGGTCAGTGTTCAGACCAAGAAGGAGATTTAATTCTACAAAGTGGCACTTTTCCCCTACGAAGACTTGGAGAGGTGTTCAATGACCCAGAAGTGAGTATAGGTTAGCCAAAATCATTAACTAAATTATATGAGTTAAAATAAAACAGTATTACTTCTCTGTAATTAGCTTTTCTTTTTGGAGATGGCTTGGCACCACAATTGGTAGACTTTTTGTGTTATGTTTGACCTTTTTTTTAATGCAAATCCATTATTAACTGCCTATTAATGTAAAAGGTCAGTCCACCCAAAAGTGATTAGTTAAGGGTGCAGTGTGGTGGGCTGAGTCTTATATGGCTTGAATACTCCAAAAGTAAAGCCATTTTTGCCATAATTCATGACTCTGTTTCTATCCATCAAGGAGTTTTGGGTCTTTTTGCCTTATTTTGTGTGTTCAAGCTCCTCCTGCTGCATTATTTTGCATAAAATAGATACAAATTCAACAGAGACAGTAAGAACGTCTCATAATGTCCACAAATGAAGTGCAGCGCTGGGGACTCAAGTACATATATCTCACCAATAATGTCCCTGACAGATATGAGAAATTGTCAGGTGGTTTAACTCTCCAATATCTACTAAAAAACAAGTTATTAGTTCTGAATGGAATGACACATTAACTGGTTTCCCTTAAATTGGCTCATGAGTGCATGTTCGGCCATGAAGGACATACAGTTTCACTAGTAGAGGGTCTCTAAATTGTTAAAAGCTAAAGTCTAGTTTTGATATATATTTTTATAATTGTCAGGTGGTTTAACTCTCCAGTATCTACTAAAACACGAGATATTAGTTCTGAATGGAATGACACATTAACTGTTTTCCTTAAATTTTCTCATGAGTGCATGTTTGGCCATGAAGGACAGTTTCACTAGTAGAAGGCCTCTAAATTGTAATTTTTGTAAAGTTTCATGGAGCATGCCAGTATTAAAAGCTAAAGTCTATTTTTGATATACTATACTCTTCTTAATTGCTTTGCATCATGTTCAAGGGTTATAGATGGCAGGTTATATCTTTATATGTCATTCTTGGCTGGATAGAATAATTTGAAAACCTTCAGTATCCTTTGGTGCAAAATGACTTTGTCATCAAGGTTGAGTAACTCATTCATTTTCTTTTGCTTCTATCACTCCAGGTTTGCCAGCTCTTCAGTAACACTGATCCAGAGATCAAGGCTTCTTTAACTGTTTCTTGTTTGGAAGAAGGTGATTGGTGCAACCTTGGACATTCCAGTTTCCAGGAGATCATCAGTTTAAAGCTCAATCCTGAACCAGTCTTACCTGCAATGGATGGGGTTTCAGAATTTGCAGATTATGTCTCAGAGACTGTTGATGTTCCTTCTCCTTTCGATCTCCTGGAGCCACCAAATTCTGGTGGTTTTTTGAAACTGTCAAAGCCATGTTGTTACATATTTCCTGGTGGCAGAGGAGACTCTGCCCTCTTTGCTGTTAATGGATTTAATATTCTAGTAGATGGTGGATCTGAAAGAAAATCTTGCTTTTGGAAGCTAGTTCGGCATTTAGATAGGATTGACTCCATATTGCTGACACATATTGGAGCGGATAATCTACCTGGAATAAATGGACTTCTCCAGAGAAAGATAGCTGAACAAGATGAAGAACAATCTCAGGGCTCTACTGCTTATAGTGACTGGATGAAGAACCTAATATCCCCAGAGCTTGGGGTTGTGTTCTTTAATGTGCCAGATAAACTCAAAATGCCGGAATCTGGTATGAAGGTTAAAAGAAGTATTGAAGAAGCTTGTTTAACATTACAATACTTAAATAGATTAGGAATAAAAGCAGAGCCTTTGTACAGGGTAGTGAGTAACACAATAGAGCCAATAACATTGTTTCACAAAATGGGTGTTGGCAGGTTGGATATGTATGTTTTGAATCCAGTGAAAGATAGCAAAGAAATGCAGTTTTTAATGCAAAAATGGGCTGGAAACAGCAAAGCAAAAACTGGCATAATTCTAGCAAATGGCAAAGAGGGTGAAATTTCAGTACCATATCTTACATCCATCACTGCCCTAGTAGTTTGGCTCCCTGCAAACCCAACTGAAAAAATAGTACGCGTTTTGTTTCCTGGAAATGCACCACAAAATAAAATTCTTGAAGGTCTTGAAAAACTGAAGCATTTAGATTTCTTGAGGTATCCAGTGGCAACACAAAAGGACATTTCTGCTGGTGGCCCACCATCTATTGGTAAGCACACGAAAATCAAACAAAGGGCAGACAGCAAAGAAAGTCTCAAATCCTCTACAAGACCAAGCACAGGTAAACCAAGTAAAAAGGAAGACATTTCAGAAGAGGTGCTCAAGGAAGTTAAATCAGAGATCACAAAAGAGACCAAAATTGAGAAAAAGATTAAAGAAACTCTAGACAAACATACTGAGAAGCCTTCAAAGATTGAAAAGACAAAGATAGATTCAACTGATTCTGCAAAAGCTGAAAAGAGGAAACTTTTGAAGGAGAAAACAGGCAAGAAGTTTATCAAGGACAAGATTTCCAAACTTGACGAAAAAAAGGACAAAGAGAAGAAAGAAATAAAAAAAGAGAAAATTGATATCAAGAAAGAAAATGTTAAAAAGGAAGAAAAGAGAGATCTTAAGAAAGAAGAGAAAAAAAGGGAAGTTAAACCTGAAATGAAGAAACTACCTAAACCTGACTTACGACCATTTACACCTGAAGTAAGAAAAACACTACACAAAGCGAAGGTTCCGGGCAAAATTAGGTCAGAAAAAATTAAAAGTAAAGTAGAGAAAGATGTTATATCAGAACAAAAAGTAAGCCACGTACAACACGTTTCAACAGAGAAGGTGCCACTGATGGCTGATATGGCAGAACAAAGGTCAGTTATGTCATCTCCTGAAGATCTAACCAAAGACTTTGAGGAGTTAAGGTTTGAAGGAAATTTAGAGCAGTTTACCAAAAAACAAGAGGATGCTATTCATTTAGAAAAGGATACTACTGAAGACAAACCATCAGATATGTTAGTTATACAAAATCAGTTTGAAGATGAAATTAATTTAGAAGAGATAACATCTGATAAGAAAAGCCCTATTGAGTCTCCAGATGAGGGTATTACCACTACTGATGTGGAGGGAGACTCACAGCATGAAGAAAAGCCATTATACCTAATAGATGAGACAACAGAACTGGTAGATGAAGGTGCAGCAATGGATGAACCTGCTGAGATGGCAGAATATGAGGAAGAAGTAGCAACAGAAGAAGAAAATGAAATCACACCAGAAGTGGAAAAAAAAGTGCCAGGGAGAAGCAGGTTAGAATCTATGCCAACTTTGGACATACAAGACTTGGAAACTGATGAAGATAAAGAAAATGAATTGGATGAAAAGGGCATATTAGATAGAAAGCAAAAGGAAGAAATAATTGAGAGATGTGAAGATGATTATATCAGTAAAAAAGAGAAAGATGAAAAGGAGATGGAGAAGAGTGTTGAGGTGGTAGAAAAGGCTGATGTTGAAGAAATGGAGGAATATGCAGAAGAAGCTGATGATCTAAAATGTAAGGCGAGTGGGTACAGAGAACAATTAAATGACAAAGAAGAAAACATGTCATGTGCTTTTACAATGTCACCAAAAAAAGAGACATATATAACAACAAATCTTTATGGAAAAGATGCATCAAAGGAGTCATCATACCTGGCTGGTGTCCCTTTGTCATCTGGAACTGCTGCTGAGCATATATCATACATTCAAGATGAAACTATGCCTGGCTATTCAGAAACTGAGCAAACAATTTCAGATGAAGAAATACACGATGAGCAAGAAGAAAGAATTCCTCACCTACAGTATGATGTAGGAAGTTATGATATTTCTGTGCCAGATCATCCTGGATCATTTGATGCAATACATGGTATCAAGGCTGTACCTTCTTCTGAGGTGACTGTAAAGGGCTATGGAGTACAAGAGCCTGAAATAGTGGGTTATTCCACAAATATTGTTGCAGCACCACTTGCAGAAGAGGAACACGTTTCTTCAGCAACGTCTATTACTGAATGTGACAAATTATCTTCTTTTGCTACATCTGTTGCAGAAGACCAATCTGTTGCCTCTATTACTGCACCAAAAACAGAAGAGACAGGCAAAAGCTCTTTACTTCTTGACACTGCCAACAGCATTCCGTCTTCACACACTGAAGCTACACAGGGCATAGAGTATTTACCATCTGCAGGCACAATATCACCAACCTCTTCTTTAGAAGAAGATAAGTGCTTCAAATCTCCACCTCCAGAAGATTTTCATTCAATGGCTTCTGCAAAAGGTCAGCTGAGTGACAGCTGTCTGACCGAAGAGGAGAAGGAATGTGATCAGACCACAGATATTGGTACTTTAGATGAAAGACATTACAGCTCTGTTTTATTTTCTGAGCACGAGCAAGCTGATGTTCAGTATACTTATGGCATGGATATAACATTTTCCTCTTCTATTCCTTGTGATGAACCAGAAAAAATTGACTCAATCTTTGGAGAGGCTGAGGAAAGATGTTTGAGTCCTGATGATAGTACTGTTAAAATGGCATCTCCAACTCAGTCTGGCCCTACAAGTACAGGACACACACCTTTCCACCAGTCACCTATTGATGACAGATCTGATACTACACAAGCTGAACTCTTTGAAGCAGCAGATATACTTACACATGCAAAAGACAGGAAAGATGAAGTACAGACTGAATATGAATCATATGAAAAAAGCACAGAGCAGCAGTATGGATCCAAAGACATACCTTCTGAAAATCTAGAGCGGGTGACTGAATCAGAAAGCCTTATGGCGAAAGAGCCAACATATGCCAGAGATCAAAATGTTGATGATTTTTGCAAAGAAACATTACCAGTGACAAAAGAAGTGTCGAAGAGTGTAGAAGAGAAAGTAACCGATATAAACATTGATCTTACTTCATTCAGTGATCTTTCTAGAGACCCAGTGTTATCAATGGCTTCTGGACCATACATGCAGCTTGAAGAAACAATTACATCCAAGGAAATGCCTCATGAAGACTTGGTATCTTCACATGTCAAAGAAACAGATATGGATCCATTTCAGTCAGTGTCACCCAAACAGCTGCCAGAGTATGCAGAGTATGTTGATATTAAGGATGAGAAATTTGAACAAGATGAAATGTCACCAGAAAGTTCTAGCCAGGATATTTTCCTAGGAGAAGAACAAGGAAAGGAAGATGATACCTCCTTACAGATGTCATTAATAGAACAAAGTCCAATTGTAAATGAAACCTATCAAGATAGCCCAACTAAAGAAGCATGTCTGGATAATGAAAGTTCCTTGCAGTTTAAAGATCCAAGTGAAAAGAAGGAAACAATATATGTGCCTGATGAAATGTCACAGGGATATGCGGAATCTTTACTATACACACAGGAAATCATTGAGGAAGGTCAAAAACATGTAGAGGATCTTGAAACTAATTTTCCAGATCAGTTACAACCTCTCTCTCTCCTGACAACAGAACCTAGGGATGATAAAGAAACCCATTCACATGAGCCACCTGTGGCAAAGATACATTCATATCACTTTGAAGAACCAGTATTGCATAAGGACAAATCTCCAGTAATTTCCTCTTCCAGTCCTGATGAATCTGATTCACTTTCTTTTGCAGATCGTAGTGCTCTTAAGGAAAGCGAACCAGTAAAAATGAGCTCCTGTAAAGAACTGTGTCAAGATTATTCAGATGTGGAATATTCTCTAGACTATTTAAAATCTGTAGATTCCATAGGAAGCACACTGGAAAATAAGGGTTCCTCAGAGATGTTACAGAAGGATATATATCCAGAAAAGGAAGTTAATGAAGGTTACACTGAAACAGAAGACATCTATGATACACAGCTAGCTGATGATAAGAGAGTATGGTTTACACAGACTAAAGAAGCTAAACTCCACTATAGTACACAGGAAAGCAAGCTAAGATATACTGAAGAAGGAGAAAGCACCTTCCTTGATGATGTCCCTGAGTGGGATGATCAGTCAGCCTCAAATTTAGAACATTCAACCCCTGATAGAGTAGAAAAAGATATTTTAGATACAGAATATGCACATTTCCAAGAAGAAAAACATATAGACACCTTGCAGGAATCTTCATATATATCTTCTGAAACCCAGGGCACTGATGACAAGGAATCACCTGCTGAATCTGTCTTGGAACAAAAGACGGCATATCATTCACCTAAGACTGACTTCTTAGATAAACTGTCCTATGTAACAACATCTTCCCCTGTTGATGGTTTATTGGACAAGAAAGATGGAGACATAGAGCCCATATTCCATCAAGATAGCAGCATAGCAAATATAAAAGAAACTTCCCTGCCTGTAGCAAAGGGATTTGAAGACCATGATTCAGAAGAGGAAGAAGAAGAGTATCCATATTCACAACCTGTCTGTGATTTACGAGTTTCTTCTTATGAGAGTGATTTTGTTGATAAGAAATGTGATCTTCAGCTTTCCAGTGATGCGGTGAATATAATAGACAAATATGAAGATTCTTTGGTGAGGGAATCAAGCTCTGATCTTTCCCTGAAGCAACCTGTAACTGATAATGCCCATGAAGAACAGATAAAACAGGAACATGAACAACATGATTATTCCAGAAAATTCACAGAACAGGAATATGTGGAAACATCATATCACGAGGCTGTAGTATTGTCTAAAGACACTACTGAGTATAGTTTGACAGACAAACTAGATGACACAAAAGGAGATTTGTTTTCAAAACGTGACAAAAAAGTTTCTCCTACATCACTAGGCTATCCTGCAGATACCAGCTTGTTGTCATCCTATAGTCCATTCGAGTCCTGTGCACAAGAAAGGGAAATGTATTGTTCCACAAACAATGTTGCAGCAGAAGACCGGGAACCAACACCTTATCCAGATGACAAATCATTTCAGTATGCAGATATATATGAGAAGATTGCGGTTTCTGGAGTTGGGCACATCATGGAAGAGACTGAGCCAACAAGTGCTAGCTATCTAGAGAAAGAAAAGACAGCTATACCATCTATAGATGCAACCTCTACAAGCACGCTTTGTCATCGAATTTCTTTGAAGGAAGAGGAGTCTCATTTATACACATCAAGAGAGAAGGAACTCTCTTCACCGAGGTCTCCAAAGAAGAAAGGAGACAGTTCCACATTTGAGTACACAGAAACACAAAAACTTGATTTAGCAAGCTCAGGCAGTGATAAAAAATCAAGTATTAAATCCACAGAGGATGAAAAACTTAAGACTAATATATCATTTGAAAAGACACAAAAACAAGAACTGGAGGATCAGTTTGATGTGTCAACCAGCGGCATTGATCACTCACAAACATCAGATAGAATGGAACACAGTTACCAAGAGAGGGCTGGTGCTTACCTCCATGCTTCACAAAACAATGATGCCAATTTAGCCAGTCAGAACCTTGCCCTTTCAGAAATAAGACCTGTTAAGGCAAAAGATTCCTATTATGAGAAAACATACATGTGGGAAGAAAATGCAAGTGATTCTGAATTAGAGAAAGGAGCCAAAGAGAAGTCAGAAAAGGAGTCAAAGGTTCCCATTCTGCACGCAGAAGTAGAAAGATCATATGAAACATACACATATGATGATGTTAAGGAAAAGAATGACTTGGCTAATTTTAGTGTTCTTTCTGAACACAAAGATGTAGAAATAGATCACTTTAATGTTCAGGCTGGAGCAAAAAGTATGGAATTAATTGGAGCTCAAACTGTTGAACATTCCTTATTGGCAAGAACAGAACACAGCTTTCATAAAGATGAACAAAAAGAGCAGAGGGAAGAGAGTGAGATGGATTACACATATTCTCCTTTTAAGTTACAAAGTGAATCTACTAAGGATATACCTCAATCTCAATTACAGATAGATTATTATCAGAAACAAGCTTTTATTGAATCCCATGAGGCAGACGCATTTTTAGAAAGTGGTGTTTTGGGTAGTATGACAAAGCAGCAATCCTTTGGTGTAGCAGAAATTGCAGTCTCAGCTACTGAATCTGAATATTCATCTGGAATGTTTTCAGTTACAGATAAAGAGACTGAAGGTTTGACATCTTCTGCATTACGCAAACCTCATTATGACTCTATGACCTTTACAGAGTCTAAAGAATTAGGTGCAGATGTCTTGGTTGCATCACTAGAAGGACAAGACGAATACCTTGAGGTTTCTGAAAGGACCTGCAAAAAGGAGTCCTCTCTAACTCAATTCTCACCACTAAGCCCATTTGAGGATAATACTTTATATTCAAAAGTTCCAAGTCATCAATACACAGAAGCAGATTACCAAAAAGATTCCCACAGTGCATCAGAAACATCTTCTGAAGCTAGCACTCCAGTAAAAAAAGACACTGCTATAGGATTTTACTCACTGATTGGTAGCAGTTATTCAGCAGATACTGAGCCAGCTGCTAGGAATCTGTGGGATGTATCTCCTCTTGTTCCAGCCGATGCTGCCAAACCCTGTAAGCCGGTGGAAAAGGATGGCACCGATGATCATGAGTCTGTCTGTTCCTATGATATGGATGACTGTACATTGCCTTGTAGAATTGAATGCAAAGGAACACCATGCACTGCAAAAACAGATACTGTTAAAGGCATTTTTAGTGGCCATATAGAAGCTACACAAGGGGAAAATGTGGATGGCATTTCCACACTTTCTAATGTGTTGACTTCCTTTCCACCCCATCAACAAGAAGAACCATCAGCAGCAAATGGACCCACAGAGGTTAATACAATGCCAGAATTATTTCAACATTCACAGTATGTTGAAAAGGAGTTCTACTATTCAAACATAATGGGTGAAAAGGCATCTCCAGATTCTGATAGAGAATCTCCATATTCTGAGGAAGATACAGAAAAACCAAACCGGCCTTCTTCTCTTGTGTCTCCTGACCACACATTCCAACCTTACTTTCCAGATGCACAAAAAGGTAGAGGGCCTGAAGATCATGGAGATGCTTCACATGAGCATGAGCCATGCTTAGGAACATCAAGCGAGTATGAGCACAAAATATCATCCTCTGAGTACTTACACAAGAAAGGTGAACTCTCTCCATCTTTTATAAACCCTAGCCCCCTTGACCTTTCAGATGACAGTGATGTGTCACAAGATGAGGGCCATCCGTCAGTTAAAGGAAGGTCTCATCATGGATCAACTCGTCATGTTCAGGGGACCACTGCTGAGGAAACACCTCCAACATCTGTTAGCGATTCTAGATCCTCCCAGTCAGACTCTGATGTTCCACCAGAAACTGAAGAATGTCCATCAATAACAGCTGATGCAGCAATGGATTCTGATGAGGATGCAGACTTCCTTCCTGTAGATAAAGCAGTAGGAAATTCTCACCACAGCAGCTCAAGGCAAGGTCATGATCCACATCCAGCTCCAATGATGGATCCCTATCCTCATCCTCCTCATCCTGATGTCTGTATGGTAGATCCTGAAATGTTAGTCAATGAATTAAATTTTAGTAAAGGAGAAAAAATGCTCAAAAAAGATCTAAAGGAGAAAACTAAGGGTGTTAGAAAACCTTTAAATAAACCCAAATCTACATCACCTGCTAGGAAGCTGGAGCCTAAAGGAAAGCATTCTCTAACACTATCAAAGCAGACAACTGACAAATCAAAACATACAACAGCAAGAAAGGAAACAGAGAAATCTCAAAAAATGAAATCTCCATTGCAGACCCATTCCTCTAGGGGAGAAGACAAAGAAGACTTTTCTAGAAGCAGTAATCCCAGCAAGCTGGTAAACGGCATAAAATCTACAGGTAACTTCATTTTTATAACTATGTTGTAAGTTCTTAAAATGCCTGCTTATTATAGTTTACAGTACTCTAATGAATTGTTACCCAGCACTTCTTTCCAAATTGTGTGCATACTAGAGGTTGGATGGGTGTTGAGGAATGTTGCATATTAACTACGGTATATGCAGATTGCTGGCATTTGTAAAATCTATTGTTTAAAAACTTATGAATATCATTATAAGAAATAACATTTTAACTTAGTTCAATAATTAATAATTTAATGGGCCTTCCTTAACCATTTATTCTTTCATTCTTCCTTTTTCTACCCAGTTGGATAAGCTTTCTTAAAACTTGATTTAAGAGACTCATCGGCCTTGATTTGAAAACACAAACAATGCACAAAGTGTTGTATGCTTTAGCAATTAATCACAAATCAGCAACCATTATTAGCTTTTGCCCCATTCTTGTTGTCCGGCTTTGTCCCTTAATTCCTGAGAATGATTCTAAAGACATCAGTAACCAATGTTATCTTTGTTCAAACTATTTTACTTGTGCATCACCAACCCATGCTATTTATGTTCTTACCTGTGTCACAGTGGACCTACTTCACTAAATCTTACATGTATACAACATGCAACACACAGACAAGCAATTTGTATCCTCACTCAATTTACTATACAACTGTGATATGTCCAAACACACAGGCTCAAGAGTACATATGGTGAATTGTGTAATAAGTGTGATTTTTCATTTTAAGTGCATTTTAAAAAAAAAACGGGAAAAAAAATCTAAAAGAGTGAAAGAAAAAAAGCCATAGTGCAAGCTGTGCAAGGGGTATTACAGTGACAGCGCTTGTGTGCACTTTTACTTGCTGTGGTAAGTGCATACACATTTTCTTACCCATACATACGCTGCCTTTTTTGCTCAGCAGCACAGTATATAAAAAAAATTTCTGCTGCTGTGATAGGCACATGCAGATTTAATTGCTTAGCAAACTGATCACTTTATTTTTTTTTCCATATGTCAAGTAAAATGTTGGCACACAATTACTTGTGCACCTCTTCAGAACAAAGTGGGCAAAACAATAACTGTACAGCTATCCTTAAAACGGTCATGGCTTAATTCTAATCTTCCCCCTGCTTGCTACACAGTTACATGATATTTTTATGGGGGGACCAAGCACGCTTATGGGGGGACCAAGCACGGTAAACGCTCAGACTTCCTCATTCCCCACTTAGGCAAGCATGACGACTGACCTCCAGCGTTAGGGGTGATTAGAAGATGGTATAAAGGTGAACACCAAGAAAAGGATTTTACAATAAGTTAAAAGTTCTGTTTTCTCATTATGAGATACAGGGTAAGAAGAATTCTGAGACATGGGACATCCAAAATCAGCAAACAAAACACTAAAAGGCCCACAAAATAAACAGGTAAAATGGGGGCTAGCTGCAGTTTGAAACAGTCACCTGAACGACCTTACATCCAATGCATCTGATGACATGTGAACAGAAGACCAGGTGGCAGCCTTGAAAATCTGGGAAACAGATACTTGATGCCAAAAAGCCCAAGACATGCTTACTGATCTAGTAGAATATGCCTTGACAGGAAAAGGTGGAGCCTTATCCTTAAGTCGATAGGTTTGAATCTACCTAGAAACTGGTGAACTTGAGGAAGGCTGTCCCTTACAGGGACCCTCCAGAATGGTAAAGATAGAGGCAGTCAGTCTGAAGGAAGAAGTGGTTGAGAGGTAATCTCCAACTGCATCCAAAAAGTGGAGAAATCTCCTTGGGATGTACCGGGGCAGGACAGAAAGAAGAAGCACCTTGTATTGGTTAAGATGAAAAGAAGAAACTACCTAGGGGAGGAAGGAGGTCCCAGCAGTGATGTGTGGTGCCTTCCGTGCTGGGTGGGGCATTCCCCCTGCCTGTCCCACCCACAGCCACCCCGCCCCCAGTCCGACAACACCCCACCCCCAGAAGGCCCCACCCCATCCTGCCGATGCTCCGCCCTCCAACCCGGTCACCAAGCTGTGTGTGGGGGAGGAGACAGGGAGGAGCCTCCCTGTCCCTCACTTGCTCAGCACTGGTGAGGCATTGAGATCGATGTCCTCAGTGTTTTTGGTTTTTTTTTGTGATTGGACAGCTTGGACCAATGGCGCTTTGCCATTGGTTCAAGCCATCCACAGAGTTCAAGCCTCTAACACAGAGTAGATGATGTTGCAGCTCTAGCCTCACTATGTTAGGTTACACAAGCAGTTGGGAAGCCCGCTGCTGTGTAACCTAACATAGCTGTCAAAAGACGGATGCAGCGCCGCCTGTAATTAACAGGTAGCGCTCCGTCCATGACAGTTTACAAAGTGGGAAGGCTGGGAAGTGGGAAGATTTGAAGCTGACAGCTTTTTCCTCCATAATACTAGGTAAGGCTCTGCCTCACCTGCGTCCCCTGACTGCACCTCCCTGGGCCCTAGGCCTCAAGACAACCTTGTTTCTGTGTAAAACCAGAAAGGGTTATTTTCAAGAGAGGTCCACGAACTCAAAACACGACTCATGGAGGTGAGGACAATAAGGAAGGCAACCTTATGGGTGAGTGTGGACAGAATGGCAACATTAAAGACCCAGCAAAACCAACAACCGAATTTCTCACAGCTGTAGCATGTTGATTGAAACACAAGGTTCCTGCAGTGACAGCGTCATTAGCAGGACATAGCAAGGAGAACTGTCACAGAGATCTTTGCTGTGTAGCTGTCTGGCTGTGATTTACCTCTGGCTGAAAGGGCAGAAAAGCTAGACTCAACTGTACTCAGCTGTGGCACAAAAATAGTCACTAGGGGGTATTTGCATCATTGGTGTGATGCAATAACAAACTTACACCTTAGGCTTCCGAAAAGAAGAAAAGCCCCTGAAACTTACCACGTGGTATTGTAAAAGAGTGTCCTGTGGCAAACAGATACAGTAGTTAGACAGTGCCAATGCAGGGGCCAGCTGCTCATTTCAGACAGTCTTTACCCCTCAGGTGGACATACTCCCAGGGAAGTCTTCAGGGACATGGTGCCGCCAGTGGGTATATCACAGCCCTGGACCTGTAAAGCGCCCTGCAGCTAACACAGTACACCAGGTGTCTGGAGAGCATCATAAGCAGGAGCCAGTGCTCGAGGGGCATATTACAGGTCAGCCCTGCGTCTTTGTCATGGCTGGGGCCGGGTACAGCACAGACAGCACCAAGGATCAAACTAGGAATGCTCTGATACCAGTTTTTTTTGGTATTGAGTAACTATATATTTTTTCCGGTACTTGCCGATACCGAATACCGATACCGTAAGTCCCATAAAGGAAGCTGGGCGGCGTATAATGACTCGCTGCCTGTCTTTCTGATTAGCCTGGTGGCGAGTCATTAACCGCCTCCCAGCTTCCTGATTAGCCAGGAAGCCAGCTCCATGCTCCCTCGTCACCAGGCGACAAGGAAGCATACAGCCGGCTTTCAAGTATCGGTATTGGTGCATCCCTAGAGCAAACAATCTGGAAAACCACAAATTACCGTAGATCTCATGGGTTGACAGTTAACAAGGAATCTTTAAAGAATAACATTGGATAAAATGAAGGAAAATGAGAAAGACATCCATTCTCCTAGCGACACTAGCAAAAAAAAAAGAAGCATGATGGGAGCGGGAGGGGTTATACCATGGTTTAGTAACAGCTTTTGCCAGTGTCCAATTCTCATATATGCAGAAATATAACTCATATGTCTTGGAAACCTTCTGAATCTGTGTCCCCTTAATATATGATTACAAAATTATGTTTAAAAAATGAGCCGAAATACTTGCCTTTATCATTATTATATTGATATAAGACATCTAATATTGAAGTATATTATAAGTATATAAAATCTATTAGTCACTATTGATCATGCACCTCTATTGTCTCCAAGGTACAAGCAGCTCAACTAAATCAAGCTCTTCTATCCCTCCTGGCCCACCGGTCTATGTGGATCTGGCATATATTCCTAATCATTGTAATAGCAAAAATACGGATATGGAGTTTTTTAAGAGAGTTCGAGCTGCATATTACGTTGTAAGTGGCAATGATGCAGCCAACGGAGAACCTAATCGAGCTGTCCTGGATTCACTTCTAGAGGGAAAGGCCCAATGGGGAGAGAACTTACAAGTAAGTCAAATTGTTGGCATAATTCATCATATACTGATTTTATTACTTACCAAACCATAAATTACAGAACCACAAAACTGTGACGCTAAAGCAGTGGCATTATAGGGTAAAAATCTGCCATGCATTTTAGCTGTAACAGGCTTGAGAACTGTTCCTGTGAAAAAAAAATGAACTTGCACTACTTTAAGATGCAGAACATGTGGCTATCCAGCAGTCGTTATACAAAAGGTGATTATGATGGTAGATTAGGTCAAGGTTTAAGAATATTATCCTAACCATTGTCAGAGGCTGCAGTGGTCAGGATGGCCTGTTAAATTCATATTAGCCACTACTCTAACTTTCTATTTCCTCCTGACACAAATACACAAACATGATCAAAATCTGGCAAAGTCCAGCAAAGTGGCAATGGTGCTGCTTTATGGCCAGGCCTGGACAGTATATGCTGATATATTACAGAACTAGCAATGTGTCAGCTTGAGTTTATGTGATCTCTTCAGCCTCAGGAAACTTTGCAACATTTACTTTCAGCGTATATATATAACTGGTATATATAACTGGTATTCTGGGCTTAGCAACATCAGCTACCCCAATGTGGGCTTCACCGAATGGCAGAGCTGCTTTTTACTCCTGCTAAAGCATTATATATGTCCACCTTTGGACTGACTTCTAAAATAATAAGTGAAGCTCAGATGATACAGTACAGAAGCAATGAGATATTGTAATGTACAGAGAGCACTAGACCATGTACTACCTGTATTGTAGGCTCTTTATACAGTAAAAACATTAATGGGACCTAATAGTAGTCAGTCACGTTCAATAGTTCTTGTTCTCTAATGTTGAGGGTGTTTTACTACTCCTACAAGTTGAATGAGGGGTAAAACGATTTTAACATTATAAAACAAGGGAAGTTAAATTTGAATGCTTATTGCTAGATTTACCATGACCTGGACATTAATGGAACCAAAAGTACTGAAACATTCACATGTACTTAGTTTGATTATTACAGAGTACAGCAAGTATACAAAGAGACTATAAACTTTCTAAATGTTCAATGATCAAGAAGCTATGACGGTATGGTCAGCACATCAAATTCACACCTGTGCTGGAAAGCTTGATTACCAGTTGACTGATTTAATTGATAATACTCACTATTTTAACAGTATTATTTTACTACATTTTCCCTTTTTTTTTCCTTTTGTTTAGGTGACACTGATCCCAACCCATGACACAGAGGTGACACGTGAATGGTACCAGCAAACCCACGAGAAGCAGCAGGAGCTTAATATAATGGTGTTAGCTAGCAGCAGTACTGTAGTTATGCAAGACGAATCCTTCCCAGCATGCAAAATAGAATTCTAAGGATCACAGCAGTCACAGTGTGTGTATGGTGTGTTTAGGTGTGTGTCCAGTCACAGCCCGGTTCTCTTTACAGATCTGGATTGTAGCTGTCCACCTTTGCAAACACTGTCAACTATAGATGCAGCATCCCTCTAGCTGGTTAGGATCTGTGTTTGTAACATAATTACCAATGATGGACGTCTGTGACACACACACAGCTTCTTTTTTTTTTTCATGAAAAGTTCATTTTAGCAAACTGTTTTTGTTTGCTATACGTTGCAGTTATCTTTGCAATGTTTGTTACATTTTCATGCGTTGCCTATTATCAGCAGACTGAAAGATAACACAAATAATGTATGATAACAGCAGCAAAGAATTATTTATATAGAAGCATTAATTAATACTGTTTATTTAGCAGCTGCATATCCACCGTACGATTATTCAAGAGACTTGGATTAAGGGAGGTCAGTTACTAGCAAACGTACAGTCATTAGATACTATAACATGATTTCTGATGGTATTTGAGACTCGGTTACCATGTAGTGAAAAAATACTGTAAATAGCTACTTGTTTATTTTAACCTGTCCACCTAGGATTGCTAGTATGGATCACAAACCACAGGAAAGGTCTGAAATATTCTCAACTACATAAAACATATGGATTACTTATATATGTACGCATAATTGGTTCCATATATTACAACAAACCAAAAGTGTTTTCAGAGTCAATAAGCAATGAGTTGACTAGGGACATACTATTTATGCTGAGCTTTGAAACTTAGGGTGTGATCTGAATAAAGGGGATTTGTTAGGGCTGTCTAGATATGAAGTTTATATAGCCACTTCATCTGGAAGGGTTTCCACTAGTTCTCCAAGATACATATCTTAAAGGTTCTTATCTTAACGGTATAAGGATAGTAGCATAAAATGACTGATTGAACAAAATGTGGCTCTGGCCCCATCATAGAATGTAGGGCCTAGATCTTTAAAATGTGCACGGCCTTGAAATTGCTAGACATAAACTAGAATGAGAGTCCTTCAAGACAACTTTATATGCACCAATAAATGGTCCCTGTATATCATCTCTTGCCCTGGGTACCCTGTTCAGAGCAATGAAGCTGAGTCCTTAAAGCCATGTGGACAGCCTGCATGGATGTAATAGTGAGAGCTAGAGTTAAGGTTTCCCTAACACCTAAATACCACCATTCGATTTTTATAAATAAAACTCAGACTGCTGACTAAATATTCTTTATCACTGTTGATTTGCCTAATGCTCCAGGCCCCTGTTATAATGGTTATCAGCTTGTACCAATCAGATTATACCACTGGACAAACACAAATAGTTGTCATTTTATACATTTATCCAGAAATCAAAATTGTAATATGACATGAAGAACAATTTATATTTTTAAAGTGACTTATGTCAGCTTCCAAGAAGGATATGATCAAAATGTTTACTGGTAGTGTCAGTGGATGGTAGTTTGACTGTCAATTAAAATAATGCTCCAGTATTCAACCCTATTTATAATCCTGCGACCCGCTTGGTTAGAGCACGTGGTTTCCCTTTTCTCCTCCACTGTACATAGCTGACCACTCACTCAGGCTTATTTAATAAGGACAAAGTGCAGTAAGCCATAACAACTAATTGGAATGGTTTCTTCAGTCATCAGTAACAAATGTGATCTTCAACTTTGCTCTTTCCTTTGCCTTATTGAATAAGTATGAATTTGTGTTTGCAGTGGGGACATGTCCTAGAAATTGCCTACTGGGCAGCCCACGTACAAAACACTAAATAAAGTGAATGTTGGCTACTTATCAATGAATATTACTTTTGCTCATATCAGCTGTATAGGTGGTAGATCCATAACATTTTACATTATCAGATCTTTTTATTTCACCGACCATGGAAGCTGCTACACAAAAAACATTTTTATAGCTTGTTTGTTTACATATTAGATTTTTTTTGGCTGCTCTAGGGAGCTACTAGCCTTACAAAACAGAACACGTCTTTATTGCTGAACAAACCATTTATATATCAATGGTGTATTTTGCTGTCTAATTTATATATTTATATTTATTGTCCGAGCTAAGCTATGTGTTATTAATTTATGGGTCTAACAGTAAGCGATGTTTGTATGTTTTATTTTGTAGACCAAATGATTTAGATGCATCTAACTTTAATATAATCTATTGATTATTGTATTGGTCTTGGCAATAAGCCAATTGCTTAATAATAGGGGATATTATTTCATAGGCTATTAATTGTTCTTTAAACGCGATACACAGAGCTCTAAAGGGAAATTTCCCATAGTCAACAGTTTAGAGAATTGTAGGCATAAAACGTATCTGTGTGTAGTCATCATACTGTTGCTTTTAATAGTATGAAATGATATTTTAGTCAATTCTTTGCACTAGTTGTCCATACTCTAGAAATCAATATAATCCCTCGCGATTTTGCACATACAAAATAGAGTCCTTTGATAAATTTTGTTGCTTTTTTTTTTCCAAATCCACAGTGACTTCTAAGCCAACTTGTGGAAATATAAATACAGGTTGTACCACAACGTGAAATGTTTTATTCTCCAAATTTGTAAGAACAGATCCAAGTAAACGATTGTCAGAGTGGTAATTTCTTGAAAGTTCCTACGCTTCTCGGCTAACAAGTGTCTGTGAAATGTTCGTTGTTGATTGCCTGGCTGTGGTTATATAGTGTTATGATATGAATTGACTGTGCTGTAGTAATACTGCAAAGTGATACAGATAGGAATGGTGTGTAATGGGACTAGAGGTCATTCCTCAGCTGTCATGTTGTATATCGCAAGATAGGCACATCATGACTGTCCCTTGTGATTAGTATACTGTGTATGTGTAGGCTAAGACCCAACAAACCAAAAGGATGACGTATAATACCCAAAGTAATGCTACTAGAATGGAATGATTTTGTTCATATTTTGAATGTCTAGAGATTTTTCTCAAGAAGGTGGTCAGATGTCTTTTTCTGAAATGTGTTTGCAATTGTCTATTCTTTTGTTACATGCTTTATGCATTCTACCCCAAGTCCCTATCTTCTTTTAGTGCTGAGCTGAAGAAAAAAAAATGCACATTGTATCAGCACTACACTGTACTGGAATGGTATGCTTGATTTATTTTTAAAGACGCTAGATCTTGGATGCATGCGTTATGTTCCCTGCACACAGCTGTTAGATTCTGTTGAACCTGTGTATATGTTCCATTTTTATTACTGTAGATGCTCGACCTACAAGCCCCACCTACTTTGCTGCAACGCTTGTGGCTCTAAGCCAGTAACATAGGTGCCTGGATGCCTAGCGCACTCATCTGATGGCGACCCAAAAGGAACACGCTAGTGCACAGCCATTCCCTTTGATCACATCCATTCGAGTGTCTAGGCAGAATAAGTAATGCACTAAAACAAAATGAGCTATGAATGTTTCTATTTCTCTTAAACTTGAAAGCTAAAACAAATAAAGACCAAGAAGCAGGATAACCATGGTCACTAAGAACCTGCCTTGCACATGACAATACTGAATGGAACCACACACAGCAATGATGTAAAGAATAAGAATGTAAACAGACCTTAGACCCTTTTCCCTTTATTACTGTGCATTGAGCAGTTTGATTTTTGTGATTCCCCTTTAAATAGTTGACCAATTACAAGAATAGCAAACCTACAACAGACTACAAAATAGAGCTTATCATTGCTGCCTTTTGATGCATATTAGTAGTTTTGTAGCACTAAAGCAGAAGGGTCAAACCTAGGCTCTCCAGCTATTGCTAAATTGTTTAATCTGACAATAGCTATAGGGCCGGTGTTGGGGGCCCTGAACAAAGGGAACAACTCAAAGTCAACCAAGGTCAATCTGATGTCTTTGCCCTCCAGTACAACGGAGACAACGCGGGCAGAGACTGTAACCATTATGGGCTGTATTCACTAACATGTATCACAAACAAATGCAGAATCTCTGTAAATCCATCACTACCATTACAAAGTAACATATAGGCGATATATAAATATAGAAACATTTAAAATCAGCTGTTGCTTGTTTCTGCATGTGGACTACAATGAGTTATACCCCTGTATGTAATAGGTGAAACAAAAGAATAACTATTTTACAAAATATATAAAAAAGTGAACATGTCTTAATTGTATTGAAAATTGCAACCTGTATTCCTGATAGCTTCTTTCTACGTTGGATGTTGTATACATAAGACCCCCAACTTTTTCATTCTTTTTCTTTCATGTTCCGCAGCGTTACTAAGAATCCTGTTTCCCAGAAAATTTTCTTTTTTGATTTGTTCTTCTTCTGTTGTTCCTTAATGTCCCATTTTCTGTGTGCAATATTCTGTCATTTTGAATATCTGTAAATGGAAAACGCCTGAAACTCTAACAATAAAATGACATGAATAGGTCTGTCGATCTTATCGCCTTTATTTTTACATTTGTTTTGCCTTTCAACCTTTCTTTACATAGTGCTGAAGTTTAGGCGGCTTGCCTTTCCTGGTTTCTCCCCCTCTTCATCATTATGCTAATGAAATGAATAAATAAAGCCTTTCCATTTTCATTACATACCTTATTTCAGACCCAGTAATGTCATCACTGAATCTCTGTGCATCTCTATTCAATGCAGGTCGATCATGGCTGGTGGGAGGGTCCAGTAGAGGGCTGTATATAACTTCCTAAAAATATTACATGTTCTGTCTCAGTATTCCTATCGAGCCCTCAGGCCTATTGCAAGCAGTGGGCTGGCTCTTAGAAGGATCTATGCGCAGGGGTTGAGGGACACTCAGTTCAAACTAAAAAAAATAATCAAACTTTGGGACACTGTGATGTTCGGGGCAATTAGCCCATAGGGTGAGCGCTTAAGAATGCAGCCTACCCGCAATATTTTCGGTTTAATGGCTCGGTAGCCCACTTTTATTCAACACAAAGTTCATAAATCCATCTTGGATACCCACGCAGGGGTTGTTCAGTGTAACATTCATGAAAGGCTTTAAAGCAACACAAGAATAGCCTCCTGGCTTCCACTTTAAACATTGGCACTTCTGACCCACTGGTCCTCTTTGAAGTGCTGTCCCACACTTGTACCGGTGGCCCCTCAGGCTCACGGCTCTCCTAGCCTCACCAGTCCTCTCCCAGCCTCCCTGGCTGTTTTAGTGTGCCTCCAGCACACTCACCACCTGACTCCTCTCTGACTTCTGGGGGCGTTCCCCTGACACCTGAACACGGTCTGTTCCTCTTTCCCAGCAGGAGCTAATTCCCCTAGCCAGCATCCTTTTCTTAATGGCTGTGCACACCTGTGCAATTATCAGGTGCTGGCCATTGCTAAAGCCTAGATCTAGGCCTGGGGATCTCATCTTCCCTCTTGAATCACCATGAAACCTCCCAGTTCCAGGATCCAAAGCAGAATGCTGATAAACCCTTGCTTCCTGACACGTCTCAGCCCTTCTGGCTGAGAGTCCCAGGTGATCATAACACCCAATTCTACAGTGGGATTGCCACACAATACCACAGACACATACAGGAAACACAGCAAACATCTGTGGACTTCTTACCTACTGTCACATGCAGTATTAAGCAGCTTCTCCAAGACACCGATCAGATTCACGCCTACCTTAGTCTGAGCAAAGAACACACTGAGGCTAGGTTCACACCAGATGCAGTGTGTTCCGGTCCGATTCTGGCCGGAACGCACTGCATCGCATTGCGGCTGGCTCACTTTTTTGTGGGGCAGGAGGGGGAGTGGCGGGCCATTGAAGCATTTGGATGGCAGTGGACCAAGGCACAATGTGCCTTGCGATC